CCCATGAGAGCTGTGTGACCCCTCCTACCCCATGGGGAGAAGTGCCCAGCACCAGCAATGGAAAGGCCTGGGGCTTAGAACAAGCCACAGAGATGAGTATTGCCGACCGTAGTGGGAGTCACCCATGACTCTCCTCTCTCACATGGGGCAACCCTAGGAAGGTTTCCCCTCCCGACTCGCACTCCAGTGCTGGGCCTCCTCCAGCCCTGCCCAGCCTGGCAAAGCATCCAAGCATCCCTTTGGGACTCCCAGTTGGCACTGAACAAACAAACATAGAGAACCAAGACAAGGAACAGCCTCAAATCATGTAGCTAGAGTACAGGGGTCTGTAGCCCCAGCTGTATCTGGGACCTGATCTCTTCAATTCCCAGTCTCTTCTCTGCTCCAGGTTTCTGATTTCCTTCAGGGGACTTCAGAAACCAAACCGCTCTGGGCATCTGGGGCACTGGGACATTTCTCCATCATTACTCTACTACCTCACGTTATACTGTCCCTTGATGTGTCTGTCCCTGGCAGTCTGTGAGCAGGGGAGAGCATGTAATTCAACTGAGTGTGGACAAGCACAGGCCAAGCATGCAGCAGGCACTAAAAATGTTTATTGCATTAACGATGACTGCAGATGGCATAGGTTCTCACTTCCTGTTTCCAGGTAATTCTCTGCCTCATTTGCTCTGAAGTCATGCGGGGTCAAGGATAGGAAGTAGGCCTGACGTGCAGCTTGGGCACCAGCAGACAACGTCTTCCTCTCTGTGACTCTCTTTTTCCAATGAAGGTTAGAAACTTTCATTCTAGAAGGGTTGTCAGCTGAGGACTTTGTGACTTTAGTGGGGTAGGGAGGGCACTCAGGAAGCCAAAAGTCACTGTGGACAAACTGTTTCTTAGTTTCTGGATTAGATTTATCAGCTCTGAGGAGTTCATGAGAGCAACCTAAGAGAGCCGGTCCTGCCCAGGTCCAGGAGACAGTGCTGGGACAAGGGAAAGCAGCGGGGCGCGGATGCAGACCGGCTTCACAGCAGCGCCTGCCCTGCAGGAGCAAAGCTCCTGCCAGCGGGCATTTCTGTGGCTATGAGGACAAAGGGGACAGCTGGCTTTCCACCAGCTAGGGAATGGGATGGTCTCAATGAACATCAGTAGTTTTCCAAAGTATTGAATATTGGCTCTTGATAGTTTAGCGAACACAAAGTCTTCATAGCAGCCCTAGGAAGCTGGCAGGCTGGGCGCTACCATTCCCATTTAATTGACAGAAACATGAGTCCAAGGATCCCTCCATTATGGCTGTTTTACCATCTTTCATGCTGTCCCTGCCCCTGGAAGATGGGAGAAGACATGACTGAAAGGGCAGCCTGCAGGAAAAAGGACCTAGGTGGGCAGGCTGGGAGACGGGGCAACCAGGGTCTGACGCCCCATTCCCGAACGTGGTCAGTCAGGGGTCCCACATTCTGGCCACCTCTGTGACACTGTGACAGGAGAGAGCCATTTCCTGTGCAGCCCCAAGCTTCGAAGGCTGCTGTGTCCACCTCCCAAAGAGCCATGGGCCATTTTGGTGGAAGAAAGAAAGAGGGCAAGGAGGGAGGAAAGGAAGGAAGATGAAAGGTGAAAAGAATGAAGAAAGGAAGGAAGGGAGAAAGAAAGGAAGAGAGAAAGAAAGAAAAATGGGGAAAGAAACAAAGGGATAAAGAAGAAGGAGAAAGAAATAAAGCATGAAAGGGGGAACAAAGGAAAGAAAGAAGTAAAAAAAGAACAAAGGAAAGAAAAAAGCAGGAAGGAAAGAAAGGAAGAAGGGAGGTAAGAAAGAAGAAAGGAAATAAAGAAGGAGGAAGGGAGGAGGGAAGGAATGCATGAATAAATGGAGGAAAAAGGAGGAAAGCAAACAAGTGCTTTGTAATAGAAATCAATTCCCTAGAAGAGATCTCAAGGGGAAATTGCCTGTCAAATAATTTCAAGGAAATGACATTTCAACAACCAGCAAATGAGGCTTCCCTCCCACTTCCTGCCATCCATCTCCATCTCCCTCTCTCCAATCTCTCTTCACCCTCCCTTGGTTCATTCCTCTGGCAAGTAGTGTCCCTCCCATGCTCCCTTCCACCCTCCTCCAGAGTCAGTTGAGCACTGCTTTCTTGATGACACTACATTAGGAAATCATCGAAACCCCAAATCTCAGATGGTTCAAATTCTTCTATGCCTCCCCCGGGACCTGGCCCCGGACATGACTCTACTGGTAGTCAGCAGGAGGACAGTAGCTATTCTGACCAGGGTGAGCATGCACAGCTTGGAGTCTTCTCACCTCAGGCTCCCTCCTGAGGTCCCCACCTCAGAATCTGCCAGTTCATGTGTGACTCTGGAGGAGGTGGCTTAGCCTGTCTGGCCCTTTATTATTTCATCTGAGGCAACATGGGGTTAAAAGTCCTGTAGTTCTGTGGTTCCATCACCCTCTGCCCGTAGATGGGCACACACAGGCTTGCATGGGTAGGAAGCACTAAGGAGCCACATGCAGACCGATACTACCCTGATGGCTTGGCCCTGAGATGCAGCCAGGACCTGCCAGCCAGCCAGGTGCGGGGAGGGGGAGGGGGGGAGGATGGGTCCCAGTGCAGGAGCGAGCACAGGAGATACTGCTGGGGTCAGCCACCTCGGGCTCTTCCAGCCTCCATGTCCCCATGTCTAGTGGAAAAGCCTGTCTAGGGTTGAGTAGACTCACAATCGCTCCTTTTAAGGTAACAGAGATGAGACAGCTGCAAGTCCCACTGTGGGGCCACGGTTATCGAGGACCTTCCTCATTCCTCTACAGCTCAACATAGGCAGAACTTTCCAGAGCCCCACAGCCTACACTTCCAAAGGGTTCTTTCATAACTGAGCCCCTACTCTGTGTGTTCATTGCCCTGGAGACTCCCAACGGTCAGCCCATTTGACCTCACAACCATCTTTTGGTGCAGGTCTGTACAAATGAGTAAAGAGAGGCTCAGAAGGTTAAGGGATTTGTCTAAAGTCACATGGCAAATGAGTAGCCGAGCTGGGACTAAAGTCTAGCATTGAGACTCCCAAGTCCACTGCCACCACTGTTGTGTCATTGCTTAAGACTCAGATGAGTGAATAGATAATAATAACAATTTAAGGTAGTATTTACTATCTTCAGACTCTAGGCTAAATACTTTACAGGCAGTGTCTCATTCAATCCTTGCAATACCTCGGTGAGAGACAGAAACAAACATCTCCATTTTGTAGACACTGAGGCTGAGAGAGGATAGTCCAAAGTCACACAGCAAATGACTGGACAGAGCTGTCAAGGTCAAATAGCTCGTAAGTAGTGGAGTCAGGTTTGAACCTGTGTATATGAAAGTTTCAGTAGAGGTGACTGAGGACCCCAAGCCTGCACCAACATGGAGGATGACTCCTCTCTTCCAGCAGCAGAGCTAGGTTCTAACACCAGCCCGAGTGAGCCTGCGACAGGGCTGGGTAGGTGAAGGAAGACAAAGTAGAATTTGCCTCCCTTCTCAACAAATGTGCAGGTTTATCTTTCTCACATTACTTCCTCTTACTTCTTATCTGTTTTAAGAGTGTGGTGTCAACATGTTCCATTATCATACAAGGATCTCTTGAAGAAACATTCCCCACAGAGGAAATAAACTCTCAACTTCCTTCCTCTGGCTGGACTTCTGTCTCTGTCTTCCTTCCTGAAGACTCTTAGCACCTATCGCTGCCCCAGGCTCCTTAGCTTCCAACTGTGCACAAGTCCGTAAGAGCACCGATCACATCAGCAGGGTCATCACCGTGTCCCCAGGGTCCAGCACCGTGCCTGGCACATAGCGGACACAGTGCACATTTGTCAAACGAACAAATGATTCTCTAACACACTCATTCAATTCAATTCGACCACTATTAACTGGATGCCTGTAATGAGCTAGGTACCACTGATGCAGAGGTGAGTGAACATGGGTGCCACCTGGAGGAAGTCTCAGTCCAGGGTGGGGGCAGACTAATCATCAATACCACCTTAAACACTTCTTAAAATAATGTGGAGAATGAATGGATGACAAATAACTTATCAGGGCCACCATGGAGGAATGACCCAAGTCCAGTGGGAACACAGGAAAAGGACCCATTGATCTGCTCAGGGAGTCACAGGATGAGAGATGTGATTTCAGCCTGAAAGGATGAGGAGTTCACCTTATGGCCAAGTGGAGAAAGGAGCATTCCAAGCAGAGAGGAGCCTGAGTGAAAGTAAAATTATTGCCTGGGGCTGGAGCAAGGGATGTACGTGTAAGGCAAGTGACAAGAGATGCCTCTTCCAGGCCACATACCCTAGATTTCCCAGTGGGTGGGAGTGGGCAGCCTCACAGAGGGATTGAAACACATCGAATCATAATGACTTAAAGAAAGATCTCCTGAAGCTAGTATTATAATTAATAGGCTCATCCTATTAGAACTCATTTAGATTAACTTTCCTGTATAGACAAATGTGATTAATCATCTCAGTAAACGCATGTCCAAAAGCATCCAGGGAAATCTAGGGCCCAGGGCCCTTTCCAATCTGAAGTTGGGTTTTGCCGCCAGTGAGGGAGCACGGTACCAGCCGGCATTTACATCATCGCTGGGTCAAGTGCCGGAGTGTCTGCTGGCACATGGGGCAGTCTTCCAGCTTGCTGTCGCGGGACACAGCCCCTCCCTTCTGGCTAGGTACCCTTCCCCCAGGGTGGGACCAGAGGCTGGGCGGGCTGCTGGGGGGCTGCCTGCAAACCTGCCAGCGCAGGATCCACTAGGGGTTACGGCATGCGGAAGGGGGGAGGCCCCGGTCTTCAGAGGATTGCCCTGCCAGTGCCTGTCCCTGCTCCTGGCCCATTTCCTGCTCAGATTTGGGGATTTTCAGGCCTGGAGGGAAAGTCCCTTGGGATGAGTATTAGAAAGAGGGTAGCAGCACCGGATCGGCACGGAAGGAAAGGCTCGGTCCGCACAGGGCGCGGGGAAGGCGGGGTGGGGGCGCGGTGGAGCCCGCGTTCCTTTGCTCAAGGCTCCGGAGTGGAGCGCGGAAAACAGCGACTGGGAGGACGAGCGAGCGGGGCGACCAGCCGGCGGGCTGGGGGAGGGGAGGCGGGGGGAGGCGGCCCAGTGGGCCTCTGGAGTGAGTGTGTGTGTCTGTGTCTGTATCAGTGCGAGTGTGTGTGTGTGTGTGTGTGTGTCTGGCGCCTGTCCAGGGTGATTTCCCATAAACCACATGCCCCGCTAGCCCGCTTAAAAGGCTGTGCCGAGGGCTGGCCAGTGGAGCTCGGCCCCAGGGAAAGTGAAAGTTTGCCTGGGTCCTCTCGGCGCCGCCGCCGCGCTCTCTGCATCCCGGGACAGCGGCGCGGCCCTGGGCCGGGCGCCGACTCTGCAGCGGCCAGCGAGCGAGCGAGCGAGCGAGGGCGGCCGACGCGCCCGGCCGGGACCCAGCTGCCCGTATGACCGCGCCGGGCGCCGCCGGGCGCTGCCCTTCCACGGTAAGCCCAGGGTGCGGGCCGGGCTGGGGCAGAGGCTCGGCGGCGCGGCGCGGCCCCTCGGAGAGACAGCCGGAGCGCGCCGGCTGCCCTAGCCGGGCGTTCCTGCCGCGGCCACGGGCTCCAGTTTCCTAACCGCCTTCGCGCACGGACTGGGCCTCTGGCGCTCCGGCTGAAGCCGGTGGCAGCCGGGCAGCTGCTCCCGGGGCTGCAGCGCTTCCCTGGGAAAGGGAAGGCTGCTGACCCCATTGCACGGAGGGGAACACTGAGCCACCCGCAGGCAGGAGAGACGGGGGTTGGAGGCCACTTTCAACCTGGGAGCCCGCTCTCTCTCCCTTCTGATGGGCCACTATCAAGGGACGGGCAGAGTGGCCATGCACTGAGTGTGGTGCTTTCTCTGGTGGGCACCTTCCTCAGTGGCCACATACATGCTTGCAGGCCCTGCTGGGGAATGGGTGCTGCCGGGTGGGGAGAGTTCAGGGGTCATCCGGCTTATAGAATGCCAGGGCCTGTGCTGAGCAACCTGCTGGCAGAGGGAAGGAGATGGGCAAGCTGCTACTTGTTCCAGCCCACAGGCAGGAGCTGGTGGGGACTTGGGTGGCTGTTTTGGGGGCACCAGTCTCCAGAGCTGCCTGTGGCTAGCTCTGAATTTCTTTTTCTTGCAAATTCTACTTCAATCAGTTGGGCAGATCCTGGCTTTGCAGAGGTCAGGGGAGGTGGAAGGAGGGTTTGGACAGGGGCAGGGGCTGCTCAGGACGGTGGGCGTAGGGTTGCCCTGCTTCAACTGTGGCAGGAGCCGCTGCAGCTCCTGGGAAGTGCAGGCTGGCACTGTGGACAGTCAGTGAGTGCTCTCATAATGCCTTTGCTCTTGAGGAGCCCTGGAGGAAAATGAGCAGAGAAACCTGTGGGAAAAGGAGCAGAAAAATACTAGGGGCTCGGGGTGGGCAGAGGAGAGGCTTGCAGGTGGGGCAAGAGGGAGAGGAGTAGATCCACAGGGGGGAAGTGCCCAACTTGAGAGGGGAAAGGGAGGCTAAGGGGCTGAAGGTGAGACCACAAGGAAAGGCAAGGAAGAAAAGGGGGTCTGGCTATGTTTAGAAGGGGCAGTCCAAGGGTCTGGTCCTGCCGGGTCTCTGCAGAGGCCTTGCTGAGGGGAAGGATGGAATACCATGGGTGGCAGATGAGGTGTGCCAGCATCTCTCTGAGCCTGCAGCAGAGATTCCTTCTGAGGGCTGCTCCCCAGGCAGAGGCAGAGGCTGGTGGGTGGGAGCAAGGAGAAGAGCCTGCCCAGCCAGATGCAAGCTAGAGTGTTAACCCTTAGCTGTCCCTCCAGCTCCTCCATTGAGGCAGATCTGGGGCCCCAGGTCCATGGGTATCACCCTTTGGCCACCTTCAAGTCAGCCTTCCATGTGGTGGCTGCATCCTTCTGCCACTGATACCTTAAGTCTTGCCAGAGCCAGGCAGCCGGTGCAGTTAGCCATTGCCCTCCCCTGCTGTCCTCAAACATCAGTATCTGGCAGTGCCTATGAGGAGGCTGTCTTCCTAACTAACCATTTCCAGAGGCTGTTTCCTCCTTACTATTCACTCCAGGGGCTCAGAGCCTCAGTGGCAGCCAGCCTGGGGCAGAGATACCTTCTGCATGGCCTTGAACCTGAGGTTCCTCCTGAGAGCCTGGGCAGCTGTCCCCACCCAGAGCTACCTCCTCCACTGCCCAACATAGCCTCAAGTGCCCCCCCCCATAATTGTCCTCCCCTCTTTCACACTCTCCCTCCCTCAGATCAGGCCAGATTTGTGCTGAGTAGTATTGGACCATCCTGTCCCTCTGCTGCCATCAGCTTCTCTTCCCTGCAGCCTTCCTGGTAGCCCATCCAGAGCTGCCTCTCCTCCCTGGTAAGAGCTGGCAAGCATATGGGCTTGTAGTTACATCTAAACTGGCATGCTGTTATGAGCTGTTTCATAGCCTCCCTGTGTTTTTCCAATGTGCTACTTATTTGCAGTATTTGTCTCATCATCTGGATTACTGAGGCAAAGCCCAGAGCCCAGAAAAGTGTCAGCCATCACCCCACCCTGCCAGCATTTCCCTAAATCTGGGGGCATCAGCTTCCAAGAGGCTCAGGAGCTCTGAGGAGGTGACCTCAAACTGGGGGAAAGAAAACCCAAGGGTTCCTCTGCCTTTACTTGGAGAAGGGGGCATGTAGGGCCAGGGGTAGGGAGGAGGGGACCTTGGTGAGGAGGGGGGAAAGAAGAGGGAAAGAGAAAGACTGGGTATCCAGAGCCAGTCCCATCACTCTGGGCTGAGTACCTACTGGGACAGGTAGATATTGAAAGAGGAGAGAGATCTCAGAAAAATTCCCTGCCACGATGAAGCTGGCTCGCTGGACGCACAACCTGCTGGTGCTCCGATAGGCAGGTGCTCGCCAGGGACGGCCCAAAGCTGGCACTGGTGCCTCTGATTAATCAGTTGGGCTCCTTTTGAAACACACACCCAGGGCTCCAAGAGATCTCTGGCATGGGATGAGTTCCCAGTGAAACTGACTTTGGTCTCAAAGTTTTTCCAGTAGCAGGGCCAGACCTGAGTGGAACCAGGTGAGACGAAAGGCTGAACTATGTCTGGCTTGTAGTCTGAAAGATGGTGCATGAACATGAACTTGAGGGCAGTTGAAAGGTGTTTGGCTCAGTGTTGATGTTGCAAGGACATCAGGTTGATGCAAGTCTAATCTTTGAGGAGTATCCTGTGTAATTAATTATTAGTAGAACTTAGACTTGTATGCATACCATCTGTGTCACTATTAGCTCAATGTGTAGTTAGCTTCGGCTCAGGTTAATCTGGGAAGGCTTCTTGGAGAAAATGACATTTGAATTGTTATCAAGGGAGAGCAAGGCTGTGCTGTGACTGTTAGGAAACCCTGGGAAATCTGGATTTAGGGAATGCTGTGTCCTGGGGTGAGGGGCACAGTTTGTAGCATTATAGGTATAAGCCTTTGTTTTTCTGCTCTCAGAAGGGCATTGGGGATCACTGGGGAGAGTGAGAGCTGGGGAGAAATGACACCCTCTCTGTCACAGACATGGCTGGGCTCCCTGCTGTTGGTGGTCTGTCTCCTGGTGAGCGGGAATATTATCGAAGGGGAGTCAGAGCACTGTAGCCACATGATTGGAGACGGACACCTGGATTCTCTGCAGAAGCTGGTGAGTGTGCAGCCATGCTTTATTCTACCTTCTCTCCCCTGGGGAAACTAAGGCAGGAGCCAGGGGGCAGGGTCAAAGAGAGGGGCTGCAGGCAAGGAAATAGGAATGTGCAGGACATGTCTCCCGCTATGCTACCCTCATGGACCTTCCCAAGGTTAGGACCTCTGGTCTCCTCAATTCTAAAGCTCTCTCTAACTCCCTGCATGCAGTGAACAGGGTGGGCTTCCAGCTGCTTGCCTGAGTTAGTGATTGTCCAGGAATGTCAACCATGGACTCCAAAAATACTTCTGAAACCTGCTGTCCCTCAGTAGGATACCTCCTCCGGGAAGCCAACCCAGTCTGCCTGCTGTGTCCAGATGTTGCCTTCAGCTCCTGGACTCCCATATGTGCTACCAGCCTGGCATCAGAGCTCCACCCAGATTCGGAGGGGAGGCTCTTGCCTAACTCCCAGTCTTCCACCCTCACTCCCCTGGCTTTTGCTCATGCCTTGAGGCTGGGATAGCCTGCTCATCTGGGCCGTGAAGGAGCCTGTGTCTCACTCTACTCAGGCCCGCGGAGTCATCAACAATTGCAAACATGGTCCAGCCAGGCAGAATCAGGTTGCTGTCATGGCTGCTGTCCTGCTCAGAGGGAATTTGCCACTCTTCTGGCCAGCTAGGCAGGGTGGAGCATCACTGACTAAGGCCAGCTCCCAGGCCCTGAGCTTTGGGGCCTGTCGGCTGGGCCTTCTACCTCTCTTGCCCCTATACTACTTCTCTTGCATGTAGCTGATGTAGCAATCCAAGGCAGACCAAGAGCATCTCCCAGGTTTAAGTCACAGAACTACTGCTCTGGTGGGTAAAGGGGCATTTAAGGGCATCTAGCTGCAGCCCCTGCAGATTTTGAATCCTCAGAGTTTGTCCAGCCTCTGCTTGAATTCCTGCCATGACAGAGTGTTCACTACCTGCCAGGGAAGATTATAGCCTATATTCTACAGATAGTTCTTCCTTATAACAAACTAGCATTTGTCAGATTTCATAGGGTGGTAGGTGGAAGGAGGAGATTTCTTGTTCTTCTACAGCCCTCCCCTGGGCATGTGGAAGGCATAGGCTCTGTCTTTCCAGGTGTGGTAGGGGGGAGGTAGATGAAGTTCAAACCCCAATCCACCCAGAAACTCAGGTCCCCATTCTGACAGAAGCTCAGTTGATCTATAGATGTCATGCAACCACTGGCCTGCTCTCTTTTACAGATTGATAGTCAGATGGAGACCTCGTGCCAAATTGCCTTTGAGTTTGTAGACCTGGAGCAGTTGGTGAGTGATGGCTGTTTATAAGGCCCATGTACCAGCCCATGAGCACCTCCCGGGGTGGCGTGCATGTGGGAGCATGAAAGCAGTAAAACTCCCAGAGCTTGACAGAGTGAGGATGTGAGGATCCCTGCGTGCTCAAGTCTGGGGTGTCAGGGTCCAGGGCTGGCTGGTCCAGGGCTGACTGGTCCAGGGCTCAGGTCCCCTGCTGTTTCCTTCTGCTGGCCTGGTACACACCAAGTGCTTACTATGTGCCAGGCACTTTTCTAATTTAGTACTGACAGTACCGCTATGTGGTACACAAATATTGTTTATGAACCACAAAGAGTTAAGGGAGCATAGCCAGTAAGTGGTAGAGGCCTGATTTGAATCCAGGCAGGTTGGCTCTAGGCTCTAAGGCAAACCAATACTTCTTCCAAGTCACATGCTTTGCTTAAAGATGTCACTTCCATTCACCAGGCAGATTCCTCCTACTTCACACCCAACCAGCCACTAAGCGCTGCAGGTCCTTCCTCCTTCATCCCCCCACCAACAATCCCTTGCTTACACAATTTCAGGAGCCTCCTGCTTCCAGTGCACCCCTCATCTTGCCACTAGGGAGAGCTTTCTAAAACTCTGATCTGCTGCCATCGCTTTCCTCCCAAAATCTGTCAGGGCTCCCATCACTCCAGGAGAAAGCCCTGGTTGGCTAGCCTGGGGTTTCGAACCTCCAGTCTCCACCACTCAACCCCATCCACCATCCCCCATTTCCTGCTCCTTCCTGCCTCCATGTCTTTGCACACACTCTTCCTGATGCCTTTCATACTTTTCCAAGTGCCCTTGCCTCACACTTATTCCACATGTATTCATCTTTGTGTCTCATGCAAAACTGCCATGATGCCCAGAAGATGCTCCCATCTCTGAGCTCTGACACACAAGACTCATACACACCTCTATTAGAGCTGGACTCCACCTCATGGTCCAAAGAATAACCTCGGTATTTCATTCATTCATTCACTCATGCTCATGCTTGGCCTTGACAAGCATTTACTAGGAACCTACTGGACCAAGTGCTAGGGACACAGAGCTAGGCAGAGTCTCTGTCTTGAAGGCAACCACCATCTCTTTAGGGAGACAAAACACTGAGGTTATTCTTTGGACCCTGAGGTAGTCTTCGCTGCCCCCAGGTCCTGGAGGCTTTGAAGGAGCCATCTGTAAAGGACTGTTGTGACAGCAAGCCAAGAAGAAGAAAGAAAGAAGTGGGGTGCCCTGGAGCCCACCTTCCCTATGCACATCTATCCCTAGTCCAGAAATCCAGATATCTCTCTAATCAGAAGCCACATTTCCTTCACTTTCAATCGGTCCCCAGTAGTGCTAGATCCCAAAGAGAGAGAAAGAAAGACAAGGGTAGCATTCTCCTTGTTACTGGAGTCATGTATCCCCTCCTCCAGGGGCAGGGGGAGAGCAGGCTGCAGCCCTCCATCTGCCTGGGGTGGGGGCACCCAGCACAGAGCCTGGGTTCCCAGCCCACAGCAGCCAGGCCATAAGCTCCAGCTTCCCATTTTTCAGAAAGATCCCGTGTGCTATCTTAAGAAGGCATTTCTCTTGGTGCAAGACATAATGGAGGACACCATGCGCTTCAAAGACAACACCTCCAGTGCCAAAGTCGTTGAGCGGCTGCAGGAACTCTCTTTGAGGCTGAAGAGCTGCTTCACCAAGGACTATGAAGAGCATGACAAGGTAGGAGGGCCCTGGGGCTGGGAGCACCGAGTCAGGGCAGAGGGCACTCGGGTGCTACGCCGCCCACATGTGCAGAATATGTTTACTGAGCTCGCCTCACATCATTGCTCACTCGCTCTCTCATTCATTTATCATCCCACCAACCTTTACCAAGTCCTCACCTACTGTGCAGGAGGCACAGTGCTGGGCCGTGACGATGTCATTGTCAGCAAGAAATACACTGTTCCTACCTCTTGGAGCTTATAGTCAAGTGAGGTTGGCAGTTGTTAAATATACAATGACACATGTAAATATAATTATAAACCACAAGTACTGTTCATTCAATCAACAAGCAGTTAACTGAGTGCCTATTATATATCAGGCACTGTTCTAGACACCGAAAAACAGCTGTGATAGAAACAGACAAAAATCCCCACATTCATGGAGCTGACGTTGGGATGGGTGGTGGGAGTGGAGAGACAGTTAGCAAGACATGCAAGTAAGATATGCAGTATGCAGGATGGCAGTCACTGCACTGGAGAACAGTAGGCCAGGGAAGAGATGACTCCAAGGAGGTGAGGGAGTCAGCCATGAACCAGAACCGCATAGGGCTCACAGAGAGCCACAGGGGACTCTAGCTTACATGGGGGTGGAGAAGCAGAGACAAGGAAGGCTTCTGAGTAATAAAATATTAATTTGAGCTCCAAAGACAAGTAAGGGTTAGAAAGCCATAAGGCCAGAAGACCATCCTGGAACAGGGGACGCCGTGCTAAAAGCCCTAAGGTGAACAGAAAGGTACACATTCAGGGACCCAAAGGGGTTCGGTATGGCCAAAGCATGGGACGTAAAGCAAGGAGAGGAGAGAAGGCAGGGGCTAGATCATTTGGGGTCTTTAAGATGCGGAATTTTGTCTTAAGTGGGAGGGGAGCCGCTGTGAACAGGCAAGTGGCCCAATCTCACGTCGTGAGACTGTCCAGGCTGCTGTGTGGGGAACGGACTGTGGAGACAGGAATGGAGTCTGGGAGACCAGCAGGAGACACAAGTCCAGGGCGGAGATATTGGCAGCTTGGCCCAGGGTGGTGCAGAGAAGCTGGAGGCGAGTGGACATGTTCCAGTGGGTTAGGGGCAGAACCGCCAGGACTTGGATGTACAGGAAGCTGAGGCAAGGGGAGCCGCAAGGATAGTTTCTGTCTTGAGCACCTGGGTATTTCAATGATGGTGAAATGGGGACACTCAGCGGACAGAGCAGGAGTCTAGCCTGGGGCACAGCGGACTTGAGATGCTTGTGAAATGGCCAAGTGGAGATGTTGAGCAGGCAGCGGGCGTCCAGGTCTTGGATGTGACTAGCAATGTACTGATATGTGGGCATGGTGGTCATCTGTGAAGCCACCGCCTGGGTAGCACTGCCCACTGTGGGAAGAAACAGGCTCAGGAACAGGCATCAGCATTTAGATGGCAAGCAGAGGACGGGCCACCTGGCAAAGGTGGGAGGAAAGCCGGGAGAGTGCCGAGTCCGGTCACTGGGTCCAAGCTGAAAAGTAGTCAGCTTGTCCAATGAGGTTAGAAGTCAAGCAAGGTAAGGGCTGCAGATTGTCTATTAGAGTTGGCAACATGTCACACGTGCCAGATAGGGGTGATTAGAAAGGGAGGAAGGGGAGACAACACTGTGGAGGAACTTGCCTCCAAAAGGGGGCAGAAGAAGAAAGATGTTGCTAGAAAGAGTGTGTGATTAGGGAGGAAAGATTTTCAACGAGAGGCGTATTAAATCTGTGCTTTCCCAACATTAACGTTCTTAAGAACCTTCGGGAGTCTGTTTAAGATGCATATTCCCAGGACACACCCCCCTAAAGAGTCTGATACCCTAGGTCTGAGGGTCAGCCTGGGGATCCGCATTTTAGAAACCGCCCCACTCACGGTTATAGTGTGAGGGCCTGGAACCACCTGGGGCGGCACCCACAGAACAGGTGTGGCTGCTGAGGGGTGGGCTCCAGGAGGGCCCTTGGGGCAAGAGTCTCCTGAGCTCCTGAGGAGGGAAGGCCCCTCCTCTGTTGAGACGGGTGGGTCCCAGGGCCTTCTGTCTGAGGATTCCTGTTTTCTCTGCAAAGCAGGAGGGGAGGTCGAAGGAGGCGGAAGAGAGAGGCAGGAGAGAGCCAGCTTGCCTTTCTTATGACAGCCCTGGGGGAGAGGCCAGCAGGGGTTACTATTGTTTGGAATTTGCAGATGAGGAGAAGAGCCCGAACTGGATAATTCATGTGGTCACTGTCACTTCGCTGGCGAGCGACAGAGCTAAGCCCAGCGCTCCTCATTTGTACATTTATGTGGTGAACATGTACTAAGGGCCTGCTGTGGGCAGGCCAGGGGGATGCGGCAATGCCTTCAGGGACTTCACAGCTGAGTGAAGCTTGTAGCCCATGTTAAGGAAAAAACTGGCACTTGGGGGTCACTGGCAAGTAGGGCCCTGGTGAAGCCGTGGGCATGCACAGCACAGCCTGGTGTGAAAGGAGAGGTGGGCTCGGGCTTAGCCCTGAGGAATGATGGCATTTGGACATCAGGAGGCGCAGGGGAGCTGGGTAAGGAGACTGAGAAGGAGCAGCTGGAGAGGTGGGAGGAAAGCCAGGCGGGTGAAGCCTCTCAGAGCTCCAGAGGGTATAGGAGCTTGGGCCCACGAGCAGCTTGGCAGACAGGCCTGGGGCAGCCTCAGCCCACCCTCCCAGACACACCAGGGCCAGCAGAGGGCCCACAGCCCCTGCGGCCTGCCCCGTTCCATGCTCCACACCACAGCAAGGTGATTTTTCTAAATTCAAGTCTTGTGCCACCACCCACCTCCCCAACAACCCTTCGGATGTTTCCCTTTTGCTTTATGGATAAAATTAAAAGTTCTTGACGTGACTCTCAAGGTCCTGCAGGGCTTGGCCAGTGCTGACCTCTCTCCAGTTGCGTGTCTCACCACTTGCCTCCTAGATGGTGATCCTGCAGCCGCTCCAGCCTTCCTTCTGTCTTTTGACATCTCATGCCCTTTTCTGCCTCAGGAACACCGCATCTGTTCTTGCTTCCTGGACAGCTCTCTCCAATCCCACCTCCTTTCCTGGCTAACTCTTGCTCATCTTTCAGTTGGTTCCTTAGGGAAATTCTCCCTGAACTCTCATTTAGTTCCCCTTGTTATACACCATGAGATCACTCAGTACTTCTTCAGAGGCCCCACGGCACTGGTTAATAATGGGCTTAGTGTCACTGCTCCTGCTGGACCCAATGTCCAATGGGGCCAGCAACCACCTCTTTCTTGTCCATTGTACGATTCTCAGGTAATTATCAGATGCCTGGCACATAGATATGTGTTGAGTGGTTCCATGAATAAATTACATATCTCACAACCTCAGGACTGAGTAGGCTGGAAATCAGAGGAGAGGGGAAGAAGGAAACAAAAGGGAAAAAGGAGAGAGATGTGACAAAGGCCAAGGGATCTCGATAAATGAGATGACATGGGGCCAATGGTCATGCTCACCAAAGGGGCCCTGCTCTGCTTCCAGGCCTGTGTCCGAACTTTCTATGAGACACCTCTCCAGTTGCTGGAGAAGATCAAGAATGTTTTTAATGAAACAAAGAATCTCCTTAAAAAGGACTGGAATATTTTCAGCAAGAACTGCAGCAACAACTTTGCTAAATGCTCCAGCCAAGGTAAGCACCAAAGGGGCCAGCAAGTGGGTGGTGGGAGGAGGGTGTAAGGAATGGGGATTGGGAGGTGAAATATGGAGCTGGGGGGACCCCCTGGGAGGCAGCCTGGCTGCAACTCGTATTCCTGTGTGTGTGGATGTGCTTGTTCTGTGTGCATATGTGGCTTCATGTACCTCTGGTCCTAGGCACATGTCTCTTTTGACATGTGTGTGCATGTACACCTACATGTAACTGCATGTGGAGGGGTCGTGCTGGTGCCTGTGAGATTAGGAAGTGGAAAGGGGAGCCCCTTTGGGGAGCCTTGTAGGCATGGAGGCCTTCCCTGCGGGCTCCACAGGCCATCTAAACGTATGGGGCGCTCCGCGGAGAGAGCAGAGTGCATCTGGGAGTCAGGGCCCTTGCTCCAGGAGCCCTGCAGCGAATCACCAGGATACCTGGCTTCAGAAGCCCCCAGGATGCCTTGTGTGTCCCTCAAAGGACAAGGCTGGATTTGAAGTCTGAGCATCATTGAAACTCCCAGTGCTGGCTCAGCTGCATACATGTGTACACTGCGTGTCCTCGTCTCTGCGTCCTGTGCCACATGTGCCCTCCTACATTCAACTTTGCTCCCCAAGCCAGGGGCTGAGGTCCTGCAACTGTCAATGGCCAAGTCCAGTCTCACTGCTTCTCATTCTCAAGGCCCCAAGCCTTGGTCGAGTTCCAGCCCCAGCCTGTTCTTGCCTGTGGCTATGGCTGTGGGGCTCCTGGCTGTGCATGAAACCAGTATCTCTGGGGCTTGGGAGTGTCTTGTGTTAGCCAAGAGGCCACTGCTCCCTCTCCTGGCCTGGCTCTGGCCGGCCGGAACCTCACATAGGCTGCTCTCTGTCTTCCTCCACCCACCCCAGTGTGCATCTGAACCCTGCTCTTTGCTCTCTGCCCGTGAGACCCTACATATTGTTCCTTCCCTGCCTGGACCTGTGTCATGAGCATTCGCTCCAGTCCTGTCTTCTTTCAGTCCCAGGGCTGACTCAGGAGATGAGGGGACCCCAGATTCATATCCCCCTCTCAACTCCCTCTGGGAAAGCTGTGCTGGAGGCTGGTGACTCTATCTCCCCCGTCTTTCTCTCGCCCTCTCTCTGTCGTTCTTTCAGATGTGGTGACCAAGCCTGATTGCAACTGCCTGTACCCCAAAGCCACCCCTAGCAGTGACCTGGCCTCTGTCTCCCCCCACCAGCCCCTGACCCCCTCCATGGCCCCTATGGCTGGCTTGACCTGGGCTGACTCTGAGGGGACAGAGGGCAGCTCCCTCTCGCCCAATGAGCAGCCCCTTCGCACAGTGGACCCAGACAGTGCCAAGCAGAGACCACCCAGGAGCACCTGCCAGAGCCTTGAGTCACCAGAGACTGCAGGTGTCCAGGACGGCACCACTGATGGTTCACCACGCCCTGGTCCCTCTGCTGGGGGCCCCACCCCTGGGATGGAGGACGTCCTGGACTCTGTGTTGGGCACTAACTGGGCCTTGGAAGAGGCCTCTGGAGAGGCTAGTGAGGGTCTCGTACCCCAAGGGCCAGCACTTTCCCCCTCCAGGCCAGAAGGGGGCAGCATTCAGGCAGAGACCGCCAGACCCAGCGACCTCCTCCCAGCACCTTCTCCACTCCCTGCATCTGCGAAGGACCAGCGGCCAGCAGATGCACCTGGCACCGCCTTGCCCAAGCTGGGCCCTGTGGGGCACACTGGCCGGGCCTGGAACCCCACCCCTGAGAAGACAGATGGCTCGTCTGCCCTGCCCGGAGACCCCCAGGAGCCGAGCTCTCCCAGGACCTCAGCACTGCGCCCCGAAGGCCCCAGCAGCCCCCGCAGGCTCCGTGCTCAGCTAAGGCTCCCCGGAACCCACTCCTGGAACAGTGTGCTGGCCCGCGGGGGCCTGGAGGGCAGGAGGAGCACCAGGGACCGGAGGAGCCCCACAGAGCTGGAAGGAGGAGGAGCAAGTGAGGGGGCGGCCCAGCCCCCTGCCCATTTTAACTCCGTTCCTTTGACTGACACAGGCCATGAGCGGCAGCCCGTGGGATCGCCCGGCCCCCAGCTTCGCGGGTTTGCCTTCCGCCTGCTGGTGCCCGGCATCATCCTGGTCTTGCTGGCTGTCGGCGGCCTCCTGTTCTACAGGCGGCGGCGGCGGGTAAGAAGAGCCCGCCCAGTCAGGGAGAGGAGGGCACCTGGTAGGGGCAGGGGCAGAGCCTGGCGGGGTGCAGGTTGGAGGACAGCCGGGGCTTGGCCTGGGTCCTTCAGATGCTGCAAGAGAGGGGCTGCCTGAGCCAGAGCGTGGGAGGCTGAAATGGAGAGTTGCTGCAAGAATCAGAAGCCTCAGGCTGTGAGGTCACTGGGAAGGGCCGGAGTAGAAGAGAGTGGGAGAGAATATTCTTGGACTGACAGCAGGAGGAAACCAAATGGGAGGGAGACAGAGGAGGAGAGTGATGCTGTGTGAGTGTGTCAGGGCAGGGTGTATACTAGGAGCTCTGCAGAGCCTGAGGCATGAGGGCCTGCAGGGGACAGTGCAGGGGACAGGCTGCATGGGAGCGGGGGAGGAGATGGGCATGGTCAGCAGAGGGCCTCACGCATCTCCCCTAGGCCTCTGGCTGATCCCCACTTCTGGGTAGCTGAGGGGACTCTTGCACCTCTCTCATTCATACCTGGGGCAGCCCTGCCTGGGGATGGGACCTCCATCCCCCCACCCTCCCCTCAGTGAGCTGCTTTTTCTTGTCCCCAGAGCCATCAAGAGCCTCAGACAGTAGATTCTCCCATGGAGCGGCCAGAGGGAAGGTGAGTGCTTGGAGCGAGGCTCTGGGAGCCCCTGGGGGTATGGCGTGGGATCCCTTTTCCCTCTAGATTGATTTGGGGGCAGTACTTTCTCCCACTTGCTCTGAGGAAATGGGGCTGGAGAGGAGGAAGGGCCTCTCTTCTTTCCTAGGTATCTGGGCTTTTTCCTGATTTCTTCCTAGAGTTAGGCTGTTCTGAGTCTTCTCAATCTGAGAGGTCTAGAGTATTTGCAGGGCTTGAGGGTAAACTTAGGGGGTCCCTCACTCCCCTCCTCCTGCTGATATCTAATGACAGTCCTGTGCTCTGCCTGCAGTCCCCTGACCCAGGATGAGGACAGACAGGTGGAACTACCAGTGTAGAGGGAATTCTAAGGTAAGATTCTGATTTTGGTCTCTCTCCACCCTCAAAATGAGCTAAACCTTTTTCCAATCACCCCCACCTGTTAGTGACACCGCCTTCCCTGAGGCCCCCACATTCGACTCCCTCCCCTCCTGCTCCCTGTCCCTGCATCACCAGGTCTGGCCAACCCTCTCCTTTCTGGGTCCTCAGGCCTCCCCCTGCCCTTCCATTCCCTCCACCCCAGCTGAGGCCAGGAACTACTACCTCTGCATTCGGTTTCTTGTCTTGATGCTGCCTTCAATCCCAGAGCAACCAAAATCCTCTTCCTCAGATGTGGCTTGTATAAGGTCTTTACCCTCCTGGGGGATTTTCAGTAGCTCTGCAGCCACTTCAAACCTAGCGTTCTTAGCTTGGCTTCCAAGCCCTTCCAACAGCAGCTGCTTGCCAGATTGCTCCCCTACTTGCTCCCCAGCCAAGATGATTCCTGCCTCCCTGCATTTAGAGTCATAGTGCTATATAGCACCTTAGTCTTGGAAGGGCTCTCAGAGGTCATTTGGTCCACATCCCACCCCAAAGGGGTGACCCCCTCCACATCCCCAATAGCGAGCCAGCCAGCTTCCTGTCACACTCTCCCAGTTCTAGGCCAGCTCCCTGGTCTCATGAGAGCCCTCTGATATTTAAAGTCAGTTGTCCATGCCCCCTTTAAGAATTCTCTAAGCTAAATGTGGCCAAGTCCCTCAAACATTCCTTATATGATATGGTTTTCAGACCCCTCACCATCCTGGACACACTCGTTTGTCAATGTCCCTCTGAAAATGTGGCGCCCAGCCCTGGACACAGTACTCCAGATGTTGTCTGACCAGCTCAGAGTACAGTGGGACTGTTACCTTCCTTGATCTGGACAGTATTCTTCTATCATGCAGATTGAGAGATTGCATTAGTTTTTTTTAACAATCGCATCATACTGTTGTCATATGTTGAGCTTGTGGTCTGTTAAAACCCCTAGTTCCATTTCCCATAAACCTCTGTCAAGCCAGGACTTCCCTAACCTGTACTTGGACAACTTCACTTTTTTAACCGAAAAAGTGCAGGAGTTTATATTCACCTTGTTAAAACTGCCTTGTTGGTCTCTGCCCATCACTAGAGCCTACTGAAGTTGTTTTAAATCCTAGCTCTGTCATCTTCGTAGCCCTCACAACGGTGTCTCCTGCACACTGATGAGTGCCTTCAGTTGTCCTTGCCCACACTGTTGACAAGATGTGACCCTTACTTCTCACCCCAGCGCCACACCCCAACTGGCCCATGCCCTCCTCCCTCCCCTGCAAGCCCACAATCAGCCCATGATGAAGCCTTCCAGATTTCTCCACACCCCTCTGGCTACTCCTTTAGTTCATGCCCCTTCTGCTCTTTTGTATTTGCTTAATACTATATTGATTTGCACTTATTTGGATGTTGTTTTTATATATTTTTAAATCTTATTTTGTATGTACGTGTACATTCTATACCCTTAACAAGATTGTAAGCCCCTTGAGGGCAGGGACCGCCTCCCACTTTTTTGCTTTTCTTTTTCCATCCTAGGTTCCTCTACAGAGAGGGCCTCTCCACACTTGCCAAAAATTCAATAAATGTTGACTAGCTGCTTAGGGCTGACTCACCAACGCACCCTGGCCAGCTGTCTCTAACTGACCAGCCTCGGGCTGACCCATTAACCAGCTAACTAATCAACCGACTGACTAGCTGACCAGCTGTTTGTTGTGACTCTGACTAACAAACCGACTAGCTGGTAGCTGCCTCACTGGCTGGTTGTTGACTGGTGAGCTGATTGGCTAAATGACTAGCTGGCCGGTTGCCTGACTGATTTGCTGATTGACTTGTTGGCCAACTAACTGGGGTGACCCATTCAAGTTTCCAGTCACACCCCTTATCAGATGCAAGTGAGCGCCTTAGGGCCTTCCCATGTGTGGAGTGACAGGTCTGGGCCCCTCCTAGAGAGGCAGGGGGTTTGGCAAATGCACAAGACCAGAGCAGCCTATTTGGGAAAGAGCTAGCAGTAAGAGCACATCTGGTGTCAGGGGGTCATCCCTGTCATAGGGTGGGCTAAGATGGGTGAGTGGGTAACTGCGGCATGGCAGAGTGGTGAAATGGCCTAGACCACCTCAGGACCATTGGCTCAGCGCTGCACCACCCTCTCCCCAGTCGCCAGAAACTGCCCACCACCATGGTCTTGGCATCCCTCTGCCCCGTCCCTCTGCACTCCCACTCTCCTTTCTCTGCTTGGCTGTTCCCAGGCCCATCCTGAGCTTCCTCTTCCTCCCCTCAAGAGTCCACTTGCAGAGGGACCCACTTGCTCCAGTGGGTCCAGCCCTAAGGCGGTCCCCAGGCCAGGCCCCAGGAGCCCCTGAGAGACTGAATGACAGCTCCTAGACTGTTGCTCTGATGAGAAATGAGAGAGAACAACACGGAGGCCAAGACTGAGAAGGGACTCAGAGCCACAGGAAACTCAAGATACCAGAACTGCAACCCCAAGAACTAGGAGATAGGGGCAGCAGGCGGGAACTTGCCTACTCGGTCTTTCCTCCCTCCAGGACCCTGGCAGGGCCTGTGGCCTGGCTGTACCCAGCATGGCCAGTGTCCAGTTTATGGCTCCCCTTCTTCTCCCTCCAGTGCATGGGAATGGGCTGGGAGCCAGAGGTTGTGGTCCCATCTTCCCTCCTGACCCGTGACAGCCTTTGCCAGTAGGGCCTATGGACATTAGGGAGGGAGGCTCCACACAGGGTCCAAAGTCAAACCATTGGATGGAGTCCAGGGGATTTCAGCTCTGGGAACAAAGCGTCCTGAGGATGCTGGGCAAGGGGACAAGGATGGGGGCGGGGGCAGAGGGCAGGGCCCTGACTCCCATGGATGATGCAGGAGGCAAGTCCCTTGGCCCATCCAGGAGGAGGCTGGGTTGTTTAGGGGTTAGCATGCCAAATGGCAGGGTGGGAGTTTCCTTGTCCCAGCACTGCCTCTAGACTTTTCCTCTCCAGCCCAAGTTCTTCCTCTTCAGTTACCTCTGCCTGCTGTCTTGAATATCATCTGTGATGACCCTCTCTGATGAGTGGTATGAAGGTGGAAATGAAAAATTCTGCTTTGCTAGGGTTAGCAGGAATCACTCTTGGTTCACTGGACCAAGGCCAGTGAGATGGTCTTGCCTGAGAAGGGGTATAAAGGATACTCAGGTGTTCCTTCCCTCCCTGTTAGACCCCTCTGCTTTGGCAGTGACCCCTCCCCAGCCCTGCTCAGACTCCCACCAGGCCTCATTACCTCCTGCTGAGGTCCCTGCTATCCTAGGAGGAGGTGGAAGGTAAGGCCAGTTTGGCCAGAGGCTTGGGCTGGTCCCAGGGAAAGCCTGCTTGTCCCTCTGCGGTGTCTGGGGTGGCTGGGAAGGCGAGGGAAGGGATGAGAGGAAGTCCTGTCTGCAGTGCCGCCCCAGCCCACAGGAACGCTCACCTCCCAGCCCGTGTCCTCAGTGACCCTCACTGCATTCCCACTCAGCTGACAGCCTGTCCTTCTCTCCTCTACAGCTGGGCACTCAGGACAGTCTCTCCACGAGAGGAGACATCACGGGCGTCCACCACCACCCCTCCCCAGCCATTCTGGAACGTGGTCTGCCCACCACCAGAGCTCCCGCCTGCCAGGACTGGACCAGAGCAGCCAGGCGGGTCCCTCTGCCTCCACCCTCAGACCCTTGACTGACTGAAAGAGGGCTAGAGGATGCCCCCCACGCTGCCACTATTTATTGTGGGCCCTGGTGGCCCCCATGCGCTTGAGGAAGGCTGGCAAGCCCGGCTCAGGACCCTCTCCCTTCAGGGGCTGCACCGTGGAAGAGTGATTCCAATGTGATCCAGGAGTGGAAGAGCCCTGCACCCAGAGGGCCCGCCTGGTGCCACGGGATCCCAGCTCGGACAGGCAGGGACCTGTCTCCAGAGAGAGGAGCCTGGGATTTGCAGGGCGGGACAGCGTCGGCCTGATTTCCCGTAAAGGCGTGCGTGCAGCCCAAGAGATGAGAAGAGGACGCCTTTGGGCCTCGATCTGCACTGACAGCGGGAAGGAGGTCTACACCCTCTACTCACCTAAGTGCCCTCTGCCGGTTACCAGACCTGCCTGACCTGCCCATGATGCCAAGGGGAGGACCGAGCTCTGGCCTCCGCCCCTTTCCCTCCAGCCCTTGCCAGAGCTTCTCTGAGAGCTCCCCTCGTGAAGGAAGCCATTGCACTGTGAACACTGAACCTGCCTGCTGAACAGCCCGCCCCGTCCATGCCGAGAACGAACATCCGTCTGTCCGCCTGCCCTCCAGGCTCTCCCCAGCTTCCGGCACCGAGCTGGCCTCACCACCGGTCGACTGAGGGAACCCTCAGCCCTGACCTTCTCCTGACCCGGCCTTTGACTCCCCTCCCCGGGGTGGAGCAGGGTGGGAAAACTGCCCAGGCTGCCAGCCAGAGCCGGTCTTTAGGCTGTGTTGTTCGCCCAGGTTTCTGCATCTTGCACTTTGACATTCCCAGGAGGGAAGAACTAGTCGGGACACGGGGAGGGGAGGGCAGAGGCAAGAGGCTGCACGATGAGTTCTGACTGCAAATGGGTCTTGAAATATGGGTATGCCCCTGAGGTTAGGGAGGTCTCTGCATCCCAGCCCCCCAGCCCAGTCTCCTTTCCCTGCTGCCAGCAGGCCCCGGGGGCTGAGCAGGTTGTCCCTGTCAGGAGCCTTGGGCTGGGCTGCACCCCAGCCCACCTGCAAGGCACCCAACTCCCATCCTCTTTTTGGCCTTCTTTCTCCCTCAGCCCTCCCCATCCCCCAGGACCACCTCCTCCCACCAGGCACACCGGGTGGGAGAGCCACCAAGGGGTCCAGGCTTCGGCTTCCAACTGCGCTGAGGGCCCCCACTTCCTGGGCCAGCCCTTGGCCATGGCTCTGAGGCCTGGGCAACAGGTGACAGGGCTGTCAGTTGCCTCTTGCCCCTTTGTGCTGCTGTGTCCCTCCTGTCCTCCCTCCCTGGGCCCTCCGCTGAAAGACCCTGCCCCAGCTGGCCACTGGGCCCATGACCTTTTCATCTCCTGCCCAAGAAGGTGAGGATCCGCCAGCCCCACCTTCCCTGTCCTGATGCTGGCAGCTCAGGGAAAGGGCAGTGAGACTTTCATGTGGGGCTCATCTTTCTAGTCACAGACTATATTTGATGCTAGAAAACACATATTTGAAAATGGAAGAAAAAAAAAAAACAACAAAAAAGGCATTCCTCCCCAACCCCTCTACCTTAAACACATAGTATTTTAAAGGTCAAAAAAGCAAAGCCAACCCATTGCAGAAGCTCTTTGTGGGCACTTGGTGACATCAGCCGGGGAGCCAGATGTCTCCCTAGGCTACCTGCATAGGAAGCTCTTCTGTTCACTGAGACAGCTGAGAGGGAACATTGGCTCACGTACTGTGAGATTTCGTTTTTATACTTGGAAGTGGTGAATTATTTTATATAAAGTCATTTAAATATCTATTTAAAAAAATAGGAAGCTGCTTATATATTTAATAATAAAAGAAGTGCACAAGCTGCCATGTGAGTCACGGGAAAGTTGTTTTTGTGGTGTGGGTGGCAAAAATGGGGGTGGGTGGGTAAGCACCAGTGCAGAGAGCTTTTGCCATGATGCTGGGAAAGGAGGGCTCTCTCCAAGTTTCAGACTTGTTACCGAAGCCTGTATTCTTGCAGTCCCAAACACATTCATCTGCATATCTGTTTAGTAGGAAACAGCCAAACCTCAGGCCTGGCTCGGGCCCCTGCTCCAGCCCGGCCTCGCCCAGCCTGGGAAAACGGCTGGTTGGGCTCCGTCCAAGGGCCTTGGAGGCCTGCGGGGACGAGGCTCCCGACTGCTGAACCCTGCGGTCCAGGGAGCGGGAGCTGGGACTGTCGCAGGGCCCTGAGGTGAACAAGTGCTGTCTCTCTGCTGGAAGAGAGCAGGGCAAGCAGCGGGAGTCAGCAGTCTGTGAGGGCCGAAGGGCCTGACCTTCCTACGGGACGTGGAGAGGAGCCCGGATGTGGCCTTCCCAGGGAGAGGGCTGTTAGGGCGGCTGGAGCGAGGGAAGGCCCAGCGTAGCCCAAGACACACCCGTGGGCGAAGCTGTGGCAGAGGGGCCTCGCCATCCCGGAGGCTGCGTTGGGCGTTTTGGATCAGTGGCTCCCAACCCAGGCTTACTGGAAAGATCACCTGGTTGTTTAACAACAACAAAAAAAGAGAGAAATTGCTGATTCCCAAACCCCACCCTAGATCAACAAAATCAAAGTCTGAAGGGTCAAGCTCAGGCACCAGGCATCAGAATTGTTAAACGATATCTCAAGTGATTCCAATGTGATCCAGGGTAAGAAGCTTCTAGAGCCACGCTGTCAGATAGGGTGGCTATTTAAATTAATAAAATGTAATAAAAGCAAACCTTCAGTTCCTCTGGTGCACTAGCCACGTTTCAAGGGCTCCGTAACCACATGTGCCTATCATTTTGGACAGCGTAGAAATTCGACATTTGCATCATTGAAGAAATTCTACTGGACAACACTGCCTAAAAGGTTGGGTCCCTGGACTTAGGGGACCAAGGTTATAGGGCCAGGATTGGCACCAAGCAAACTTGGCCAGGAACCCCTTTCTGTGCCCTTACCCCCACCATCCGGTCCCTCATCATTTCCCTCAAGTGAGCTCTGCCCTTTCTATCAAAAGCTCCTCAGAAAAGATTTAGGAGAAACTTAACTCACATTTCATTTTTCCTGACCCAACCTGACAAAGAGCCTCCTCTTCCAAGAGGCCTTCCCAGCCTGGCACAGGCCCCTGAGCTCACCCAGGCTTAGTTCCTTCCTCCTCTATCCGTAGAGCCTATTTATTTGTCTGTCTGTCCCACCGGGCTGTGGACTGTGGCAGGAAATATGCTGCATCCCTCCTTATATCCCAATGCTGATGGTATCTGGCACACAGTTGGTGCTCAATAATTGTGTGTCAAAAGTTTAACACTGAGAGCATGAACAGAAGCAGGATAATGCAAATTCTGACCAGATTTAATGGGGGCCTTTTCTGGGGACCTTGTGACTATTAGCCAATGGAATTACTATCTAATAACTACCGTTCAGTGGCCATGCAGAGGAAGTGTTCTCAGCAGAGGGTCTCCCTGGCTGCTGATGGAGATGGGACGAGGTTAGAACCCACCTGACCACTGGGCTGAGATGGATGGAATGTATATTCCAAAGCCTTTAAGCAAGATTCCAAGGATGGGAAGCCAAAAAACAAACCCCCTCAAACCCCTTCCCCCTACCTGCCTTTCCGGAAGCCCCAGAAAGGCTTGAGAATCTCAGCAGGCCTTTTCCAAAGCTTCACATGCTGCATGGGCTGCCCAGGAAGCGTCATACCTCTAGAGCAATGTCCATTTGCCTTCGGAGCAAGAGAACTTAGGTTCTTGGCTTGAATCTCTATCGCCTCTTATTGTTCCACCTTGGTTAAGTAAACTCGCTGAGTCTCAGATTTCTCCTCATCTGGAGAACTAGCTTAAGAGTACAAACAAGCTATGCCTAGACTGAAGTTCAAATGAAGTGACAAACCCCAAAGTACCTTGTGGGCTCCAAAGGTCTTCCCCCAAATAAAGTGTGTTCTGATGCAGCCCCTGCCAGCTGGTCTGACAGTGCTCATGCCAAATATAGGTCCCCTCCGCTATGCTATGCTGCGAGGCCCACCCCGCCCCTGCTGTTCTCAGCAGGAGGTGGCAGAAATGAGTGCTCCCTGCAGGGAGGAGGATTTGGACATCTTGTAGCTCAAGGATTTCTGGCTGAAGGAAGGGCCCAGGTAGGGGACTGGAGCAGAAAGTGGCCCTCGTTGCTGCGGGTGCCGGTTAGCAGGCAGGGTCAGGAACTCTGGCCTGCAGTATATAAGCAGAAGGGCCCAGCCAAACCCCAAACCACTATCCGGCCAGCGGCAGGAAAATGAATCAGAGGCGATCAGGAAGAAGTCCGAGGTTAACCTCATGCAGACTGCGGGCCATGGCCAGGAAGGGGTTGGTGGAAGGACTGGGGTCTGGGCAGGGCCTGGGAGGGCATGCAAAGACCCCTTGAACAAGGCACTAAAGTCATTTAGGGGTGGGCGGTGAGCAGGCAGCCCTGGGCAAAAGCGGCCATGTTTGCTAGAGAGTACCCCTCCCCTGCCCCAGCAAAGGCCAGAGCAGCCCTTCTGTCCCCTGGTTTCTCTCCTCGGTATCTAGGAGGGGTAGTAGGGTGACCCGGCTCTGCTGCCCTGGACGCTGGACTGCTGAGGGAGCAAGGTGGCCCACACCAGCCTGGTAAGCCCCACAGCAGGGCGGTTGGACCACAGAGAGGCTCACTCTGTCTCCCCCTGCAGATGCTATGCCTGTGCGACCAGACGCTAGTGTGGGACCACAGGAAAGTCCACACGTTGCTCCCTCCGGCCCTGTCTACAGTTTACACTGACTCAGCTCCACGACTGGGTGACTGTGAGTCAGAAGAGGTTATGGATTGGGGTGGTGGAGGAGGCTGGTCAGGGTGTTGGTGGGTGAATTCCTGGAGGAGGGCTGGGGCAGAACTCTAGGTTGAACTCCAACCTCTCCGGCCCCTGCCCTGGGGTCCTGGACACCGGCCCCCAGCCACTCTGCTGTTTAGTCTCTTCCTGTGTGTGCACCTAGTGAGGTCTCTAAAGGCCGGATCCTCATCTTCATTCATTCATTCATTTCCCCATTGATTGCTAGATACTGAGGACCAAAGTCGGTGAAAGAGATAGACACCAGCCAAATAATCACACAAATAAATACCTCATCATAAAGTATGCGTAGAGGTAGGAAGAAGCGCAACAGGGGACCTGATCCAGGGACGCAGGACCCTGCAGGCCTTCAGAAAGGTTAAGACAGAGAAAGCCATAGAAGGGTTACAAGTGGTGAGGCATGGTCTGTCTGTTCCTCCTCCTTATTCAAGACTGCCAACAAGATTGAATGGAAAGCTATTTGCTAATTACCTGGTATTGTGAGGCACTCTAGAAAAATGCAGTCTCGTTCTATCTCACAGTAGCCCTGTGAGCTAGGTGCTAATATCCTAATCCTAATATCTACAGATGTGGAGACTAAGGCTTACAGAAATTTAATAACTCAGCTGAGGTCATAGCAGCTAGTAAGTAGCAAAGCCTGGATTTGAAGCCAGGTCTGACTGTTTTCAAGCCCCACACTCTTGTCATAACATCACACTCTTGCAGGCATTTAACAGATGGTTCTTGCACAAACGGACAGCTTGTGCCGGCCTGGCGGACTTTGAGGGTCCCCAGGGCTTTAGCATCCTTCTTTTTCTTCCTTTCAAAAGGACTGTGTTGTCTGCAACTGGGGAAAAGTTGCCTGCGACAGACGCCTCCTCTCTCAGCCTTGGTGCTGCCCCTAATTCACTAGGAGAGGAGAAGGGACCCTTGGGTTGTGTGCCCACTGCCTGGGCCTCTGGGAAGGGCCTCCCTTGACCTCCAGCCCCTCCCTCAAGCTTTGGCTAGGGTCCTTTGTGACCCATGTGTTTTCTCCCCGCCCTCCCTTTGGGCACCTTCCAACTCCCTGATTAATAATTGGCCCAGGTGACATCTGGGCACTGATCCCTCCAGCTGGCAGCAGGCTTTGGCATCCTTCTTATTTTGCCCGATTGTGACCTTCTTGGATGAAAAAACTATTAATTTGCTTCCCCACACCCAGCCATATCTCTAGGAGAGGTTGTCCAGCCCTGGGCTGGGGTTGCATGATGGGAAAGGCTGGATAAGGACCACCGAGTGTGACATCTGCAGGCTCAACATGCTCTAGTGATTCTGGGGAGAAAGGCCAAAGGCTGGGGGCTGGAGAGCCTCAGGGGTGGAAGCAGAGCCCTCACCCTGCCTGTGATATTTGGAGGAGCCTCAAAGAGCCATCATTATCAGAGTGCACTATGGTTGCTTGATCTATGTTGGTTTTCCTGAAACGAGCTCCATGCCCACATGCAGGAAGCCCTCTATGCCTACTTACTCTCCCAAAGAAGAGCTTCAGGGGGGAAGGTAATCTGGCCCAAGTTCTGAGATATGTTCAGAATATTTTCCTATAGCAACAACAACAGCAAACCCTGGGGAAAGGTTAGAAATCTGATTTCTATAGTTGCTGCCTTATATTGTTTTAAACATCTAGTTTTCAACAACAAAAAAAATTGCAAGGCATGTAAAGATACAAGAAAGGAAAAAAGCAATCAATAGAAACTGTCCTTGAGGAACCTCAGACATTGGTTTTCTAGACAAAGACTTTAAATCAGGTTTTGTTCTTTTGGTTTTTTTTTTATTCTTCAGCTGAAACGGATTTATTGTACACTTGTTACACTTGGCCACAGCTGAGAACAGAACTAGTCCAGAATGTCAGATTGAGGGTAAAGGACCAACAGGGACTGTTCTGGCATGAGCAAATGGGTCTCTCAGAGGTGGTCTTAGCGATCGGATGATGATGACGTTCTAGATCCACTGTGAGGCAGGTTCTAGACAGTAGCATGCAGTCCAACAACTTGTACCAGTGTCCTCAGCCTCTGGCATCCACGTTTCTGTTCTTGTGGACTTCATGTGTGCACAAGCAAGCAGTTTACTTGAACTTCTGCCTCATCTTTATTCTTTTATGTTTTAGCCTGCACATTTGCTTCTTCCTTCACTCGGCTCTCATAATAGGGAGGTTTCTAGAAGATGGTGCTAAGGCCAAGAGCTAAATCAGGTATTTTAAATGTGTTCAAAGACTAAAGGAAAACATGTATAAAGAACTAAAGGAAAATATGAGAATGATGTCTCACCAAGTAGAGACTATCAATAAAGATGAGAAATTATTTAAAAAGAACCAAATAGAAATTCTGGAATTGAAAAGTATAACAACTGAAGTGAGAATTTCACTACAGGGGTTCAATAGCAGATTTGAGCTGCCAGAAGAAAGAATCCATGAACTTGATTGAAATTATCCAGTCTGAGGAACAGAAAAAATGAAGAAGAATGAATAGAAATGGAAAGAGCCGAAGAGGACTGTAGGACACCATCAAGCACATCAACATATGCACAATGGGAGTCCAAGAATGAGAAGACAATGAAAAAGGAGTGAAAAGAATATTTGAGGAAATTTTGTTTGGAATTTTTCCGAATTTGATGAAAGATGTTAATCTACACATCTAAGAAGCTCAGCATACTCTAAGTAGGATAAACTCCAAGAGATCCACACCTAGACACATACTCAAACTCTTGAAAGACAGAGACTCTTCAAAGCAGCAAAAATAACTTACCCAATGCAAAGATAGTCTCAGTAAAATTAACAGCTGATTTTTCATCATAAACCAGAGCTGCTAGAAGACAGTGAAATGGCATATTCAAAGTACTGAACAAAAACCCCTGTCAATCAAGAATTCTAGGCCAAGCACAGTGGCTCATGCCTGTAATCCCAACACTCTGGGAAGCCAAGGTGGGAGGATTGCTTGAGGTCAGGAGTTCGAGGTCAGCCTGAGCAAGACAGAAAATAGAAAAATCAGCTGGATATGGTAGTGCATGCCACACACCAAACGGGCACAATCCTTTCTGCAACAAGGACAATGGGGCAATCACGAGTACCTCCAGCAGGGCTGGACCAATACAGCAGCCCACCGTGGGAGGCATGCCTGAGGGTCTCTTTGCCAGGACAGCAGAGACAGACTGCAGGTTTGACCTGGTCAGAGGAAGACATATGATTGCCATTTCTGATCTCAACCTTCTCCTTTCTGGGCTAGATTAACCTAGTTCAATGTCCTGAACAAAGTGGGCATCAGATACTGATCCATAAGAAAAGAAGATTGGATTTTAGGATCTCTGAGGTCCCTTTCCAACTCCAACACTCTGATCTTTTCTGGGACCAATTTCCTCCAAAGTCCATGGACCATTTAAACTATACTAAGGAGAGACATTTTTGTTTCCTCAGTCATAAATAATCATGTAAATGTATTTCCCTACTTATACACCATCTTATTGCAGCCATGATGTCACCTACACAAATTCCACCCAGGCAGCTCGACCCCTTGGGGAAACCACAGATCACAAGGCAAACCTTCAACTAACCAGTCTCTTCCATGGCGTTCTTGCTTTCTTTTAAGTGGATGATTTATTCAATTTTTTTTTCTTTTTATAAAGTTAGCACAAGTTGACTGTAGATAAATAGGAAAATACAAAAAGTATGAGTAAGAAAATAAAAATCACTCTTATTCTCACCAGAGATAACCACTGTCAGCATTCAGTTGTATTTCCTTCCAGTATTTTAATAGCATGTTTATATTTTTATGTAGTTGATATTACAATATACGTACAGTTTTATATTGATTTTTTTTACTTAATGTTATAATCATGAACATTTTCCCATATCATTACAATTTTTTGGAGATAGCTTTTTACTCTTTTACCTTTATGTTTTGTACATACATGTACAAAGCTTTCGGGAAAGGCCAGGAGGAAAGAAACCATTGTGTCGGAAGAGTGGGAAAGAGACAATGGGCAATTCTAGGGACCATATTTTCTGAGCCAAAAATTGGGCTCCAAGATCTGACCAAGGTGACCTTGGGAAAGTCATTTAACCTCGCTGAGCCTCAGTTTCATCATATGTAAATTGGGAATGATAATAGTACAAAATTTACCTTTAAAGGGTCCTGGGAAATAGCACTATGCAAGTTCTTGCTGTTTTTATTTAATGTTGTTTGAGGGACACAGAGGTATGCGGAAGCTGTTATTTGGTTGTCAAAATATTTGCATTTCTAGTATATTCTTATGTAGGGATTGTGGGCCAAAGTATTTGAAATCTTAACTGTCCTTGGAGATATGAAATCAAAGACCACCTCTACCTAGAGGAAAGGGTATGAGGAAGAGAGAGAGAAAGACAGGAAAAGAGAGAAAGAGGTAGAAAGAGTCCTTCTAGCAAATGATCAGGGAATAATACATGGAGAAGGAGAGATTTAACATGGGCTTTAGACTCTTCCTTAAAAGTTGTAACTCTTTGATTTAAAAGTTCAAATGCTGACGTAGAGGAACTTTGTCTGACACCCCTTCCCCACCAGACTGGAATTCCATTCATAAATCCTGCTGCCCGGCCACAGACGGACACAGAGGACACACTCAGCTGACCTCCACGGAGCTGAAAGGAACAAACAGAAAGAAAAGACAGATACAACTTTCAGACCGCTTATTTCTCTCTGTCTCTCTCTCTTTTTTAACCAGGAACCAAACACTGACCCAGGACTTTTGTTCCAGTCCAAACATTCTCCACCAATTTTTCAACACAATGTAATTTGATACAGGAATATCAGTAGAGTTCCAAATAGAACATACTTTAAACAGCATTTGGCTTTGGGCTTTCAATGATAGATCATCTCTCCCAAAGACTATTCTCTTCATCCTTTGCATGGTTTGACAATGAGCAATTTTCTCATTAAAAAAATTTTTTTTTTACTTGAACAGCATTTTTTTCTGTAAAATGTTTTATGGGAGACTGAACAGCATTTTTTAAAGAAAAAAAAAAGAAAAGACTAGCGAGGTCCAGCTCCTACCTACGTGGCTGGTGTTGAAATAGCACGGATGGGGAAAGGAGCACAGATTGGAGCCACACAGCCTGGGTTTCGCTCTGGACACCTTAATGGGGAGCTGGGGTGACAAGTTGCAGGCAGGGAGGCCAAGGGAGTGAGGGTTAGGAAGGGTTTATGGGAAGGCTCGGATTCAGCCCTATGAAGGTGCCGACCTCCACACCTCTGTCATTGCTCATCACCTGGAGAGTCACGGTCAGACACAGGTAACCCCTCCACAGCCGGGGCCCAACCTATCATTTAACCTCCTCTCCAGCCACTTATATCCACCTCTTGTACCCTTCTTCCTCCTTGTCTTTCCATTTGAGACGTCCACTTCCCGTCCCACCAAAACCTGCTATAACATCAGTCCTCTAGAAAGCTTTCCTGATCGCCCTAGCTGAGGGCTCATCTCGTCTGTCACGCCACCCGAGTCTCTTGCATGACATTTATCTTTCTCACATGCTTTGAAGCTATTTATGTTGCTTGCCTTATTTTTCTTATACCTAATTACAATAATACCTTTTATTTCTAGAATGCTTTATAGGTTACAAGGCAATTTCACATATATTAATATTCTATCACAGCATGTGGTATAATATCTCTTTTTATGATTTACATGGAAGGACCTAAACCCAAAAAGGTTAAATAAGTGGTCCAAAGTGACGATAATTCAGGGCTTTTATGTCAAGCCTCCCCAGTGGGACTGTAAGTTCCTTGAGGGCAAGAACTCTGCCTTAATCATCTTCATGTCCTCCTGTAAGTAACACAGGACCTGGTTCAGAGAAGACGCCCAATAAATGTTTGCTCAGTGAACGAATGTGTATGACCCTGGACAATCCCTTCACCTCGCCACACTCAAAGTGCTAGATGAGATGGCTCTAACAACCCTTCCCACTTGCCTTCAGTGAAAGAGTCAATGCCATCACCTCTATGAATTCCCTGACACCTGCATGCCCCACGTGTCCCCTGGGCAGTTGTCAGGGCGTCCACTCCATCCTGTGCCCCTTATTTCACTAAACGCTGATGAATTCATTTCCTATTGCTGCTGTCACAAATTACCACAAACCAAGTGGCTTACAACAACACAAATTTATTCTCTTACAGATCTGGAGGTCCGAAGTCTGAACTCAGTTTCAGTGGGCGGGCCAAAGTCAAGGTGTAGGCAGGGCTGGTTCCTTCCGGAGGCTCTGAGGGGACAATCCGTTTCCTTGGCTTTTTCCAGCTTCTAGAGGCCTCCTGCCTTGCTTGGCCAGTGCCCTCTTCCTCCAAGCACAGCACTCCAGTCGCTGCTTCCGTCATCACATCACCTTCCCTTCTTGGTCAAAGCTCCTCTGCCTTCCTCTTACAAGGACTCCTGCGATGACACCCTGGGGAAGATACCATTCGCAGGTTCCAGGGGTTAGGATCTGGGTGTCTTTGGGAGACATTATTCAGCCTACCACAATTATCAGTACACTTACAGTTTACCTTTTGTTTATATATTTGTCTGTAAGACCAGTAGACTGTGAACAACGTGAGAACAAGGACTGTTTCTTTCTGTTAACATCTCCATAGTCTCACCTTCTAACATGGCTCCTCATATATGGTAGGTTCCTAACACATAATTACTATCTGAATAAGCAAGCCCATATATATGGACTTCTATTGCTTCTGCCTTAAGGACCATCCAGCACAGCATTCCAAAGAAATCTAAAGCTAACTTAAAAAAAAAAAATCAGTAAAATAAATGTCAGGGATTTTTTTTTTGAGACAGGGTTTCTGTTGCCCTGGCTACAGTGCTGTGGCATCATTATAGCTCACTGAAAACTCAAGTTCCTGGGCTCAAATGACCCTCCCACCTGAGCCTGCCAAGTAGCTGGAACTACAGGTGCACACCACCACACCCAGCTAATATTTCTGTTTTTTGTGGAGATGAGGTCTTGCTAAGTTGCTCAGGCTGGTCTTGAACTTCTGGCCTCAAGCTATCCTCCTGCCTTGGCATCCCAAAATGCTAGGATTACAGGTGTGACCTACTGCGCCCAGACATAAATATCAGTCTTTAGTAGAATTCTTTTGGGGACACAGAGGAGAAAGTTACACAATACATGGCACAATAAAGCTTCCTTAAAATGCCCTGGAGACATTTATTCCTCTCCTCCAGACCCCTTCACTCAGTCTCTCCACTTGCCTGCCCATCCACCGCCCCAGTCAGTCAAATTTGTAATTATTCCCAGGGACAACATGCATGCATCAGGATTTAATTGTGTCACTACTCACTCTCAACCAATAGTCAGGCTATCCGCAGGAAGGAAAAAATCTGCTTCCTAAATTCTCAGATATGTTCCTGGATCTGCCTCCCACATAGTGGAGTCTGCAAGGCACCCATGGCCTGGTGCCCAGTGGTCCCGTGACTCCCTTTGGGATCAGCCCTGCCTTACTAGAAGCAATTCAAGGGGACTGGCTCCAGCCAGGTCCTGAGTTGACCACAAGAGAGCCTGCAGTGAGAGACAACCTGCCTGACAGCCTGTCTGAGACTTGAAGGCTCAGAGCATCTGACCTCCTTGCGCCAACCGGGCTTCCCCAGTGTCAATGCCTAAAGGCTTTCCTTCTTCCTGCTCCCAAATTAATGTCATCAACAAACAAAAAGTCCAGGTTAAATCTCAGTGAGTTCAGTAACTCTTAGCTACAAATTCCTGATGCTCTGACCTGATTTAGCAATTTCGGATTCTCCCGGCTGTGCTCCTAGGCACTTTGCTGCATGGGCAAGACAGCCTGGGTGCATAATAATGACAAGAGCTAGCGGTTAATGAGAATTCCAATGTAGGGACTTTTCCTGCTTTGTTGCATCTAACACAGCACCCTAAGAAGGAGGTACTCTTGTTATCCTGCATTTTCCCGGGGGCAAACTGAGCCACAGCAAGCTTAAGTGACTTGCTGAAAGTCACACGACTAAGAAATGGTAGAATCAGGATTCAAAGCCAGGCAGTCTGGCAAAGGTCTCATCTTCCTACTTACCTGGATTATGAGTTTTACAAATAAATGGTAGCCGCCCTCCATCTTGCCACATGTCTTATTTAGGGCTTCCAGGCATCCTACAGCACATGCAGAAAGCTCTGGGTGCAGGCAGGATCCCCTAACATTGCATTCTCTGGCATTTCCCACCCTAAGCCCTGGGGGCACCATTCTTGCAGCCTCTGGGGGCACCTCCCTGGCCCAGTGCTCCCTATGAAGTTCTCTAGTTTCCAGGAGCTTATAGCCCCTGAGATGGTTTACTGCTTCCTCCTCAGTGGGCTTCCAGGCTGGGCTTAGCCTCTGAGCCTTTTAATCCTGCTTGCCTGGGCATCCTCCTCCCTCCCACTTCCTGCAGGACAAGAGTGTCCATGAGGCTGAGTTAATAGCGTCCGTGAGGCAAAATGAAATCCTAACTTTAAACCTCAAGCCTCACCAGCAAGTTTCATAGGCTTTTCAGTCTGGACAGCTCGTATAACCGTGTGTAAGGGGATTCTTCGTTTTGTACAATAAATTCTGGACAGTCCGTTGTCCCAAAGATTAGAATTCTGATCCCAAGGGTGACCTCTCTTGGCTTTGTTACAGAAAGATCACATGCCAAGTTCAACATTTCAGATGGTAGCCCTGCTGTGTTAGCATTCACATTCCCCTGTGTTAAAAAAATGTCCCTACATTGTCATTTTTAATGGTCCGATGTGTTGTTATAAGAAAGTTTGCTTAGAAATTCCTCTATTATTTGGCACTTGGGTCATTTCCAACTTTTTACTTTTCTACACAGTAGGGAACAGATTGATTTTTTGTTTGTTTGCTTAATTTTTGTTTCATTTACTTCCTTGGAGATAAGTTTCCTAAAGCGGAATAAATAGTCCAGAAGATATGAACATTTTTATGGCATTTGATACAGATCATTTTATCGTTTGTTTAAGAGATTGCACAAGCTCATATTGTCACCAGCAACATATAAATAAGGACTTGTTTCCCCACAGTTCTGTTAACATGGGGGTTATCATTTTTATTTGCTTTTTACTAGTTTAATATTATAGTTCTAGAATGATACATTGCAATTGTTTGAATATGCTTCTCTTTATTGTTTTCAAGGCTTCATACTTTTCTATGTGATGATTGTTCTTCCTTTTTATTCGGGAATAAACTATTCCTCTCCTTTGGCAACTCACAGAGGGGAATCCAGACACAAACAATGTATTTGTATCACCAGTTCTTTCCTGTTTTGGGATAAGCTTCTAATAATTATATTTTTCACATGTCTTTTATTTCTACAGGTTTGTTTTATATGTAGCTACTATAAACTCAGAATAATCTTTATATATTTATGTTTCTCTTTTTCCTTAATAATATTTTTATTTCTTTAATAGTTAGATATTTATGATCCTTTCAAACATGAGGTATGCATGTTATTTTTTCCATTAAAAAACATACTACTATCTAGATGCATTCATTACACAATGCCAGAAAAAGAATAAAAAATATAAAACAAACAAACAAACATACTACTAGGGAGATGGTCACACTGGAAACTCAGACTTGTGGGGGGAGGGGGAAAAGGGGCATTTTTTGAAATCTTAAAATTTGTACTTCCATAATATGCTGAAATAAATTTTAAAAAAACAACATACTACTAGTATAGGTTTTACTTGAATCCATCTGAAATGTATTATTAAACATGATGTGATGTATGACTCTAAGATATTCACTTCCTATGTCTTATCCCATTGCTCAAACAATTAGCAATCAGTGAAATCTTTCTGCATTGTTGTGTTGCTTCTGCTTTGTTGTAAATTAAGTTTGTAAAATAGAATGGCTATGCTACAGAAATTTATGTTCGACTTTATTTATTCACCCAACACCTACTATCTACCAGGCACTGTTCTAGGTGCTCAGGACACAGCCGTGAACAGAACAAACATTCCCCACCCTTACAGAACTATCATTCTGATAGTAGGGGAGACAACTTAAAAGATAGATACCAGATGGATAAATAAATAACAACTAAGATAGGAAAGAGTAATACGGAGTGCAACATGGGAGTGCAACATTGAACTTTGCACTGGGAAGCTGGAGGAGGACCTCTCCGAGAAGATGTCACTTGAGCCAAGCCTAAAGGAGGCGAGGGAATGAGTGTGCACATACATGAGGGAAAGAGGCTCCAGGTGGAAAGAACCGCAAGCACAGAGGAACGTCAACTTCCATGACCAGGAAGGTGCCTAACGTGTTCAAGGCATAGCAAGAGGCCAGGGTGGCCGCAGCAGAGTGAGTGAGGGACAGAGAGAGGTGACCAGACAGAGAAGGGTGGGAGCAGCTCTTTCAGGGCCATCGTAAGGACTATCGTGTTTACTCAGAGGGACACGAGAGCCTTTGGATGGTTTTGCACAAAGGAAAGGCAGGGTCTGACTTAGCTTACCAGGGACACTCTGGCTGTGGTGCAGAGAAAGTTTCAATAAATGTACTTTTTGTAATACATTTTAAATCTTGTGAGGGAGTCCTAATTTTTTCTTAATCTCAAAGATTGCTGTCAATTATTCTGCTTCTATCATTACTTTCCAAGGCCTTAAACTAGTATTGCATGAAATCTATTAACTTTGAAACACTGTCACATTTATTAGATTTTTTTTTTTCAGTAATGATCTGGTGTATCTGTCCCTTTGTTCACATCCTCCTTTACTTTTCCTGCTATGGTTTAATAATTTACTTGGAATAAACCTGTGGCTTAAGGAAAATCCTCAAGCAAATTATATTTGGTTCTTGGTTATGAATGGAATCTTTCTCTCTTTTTTATTTTATGTTTTTGTTAATATGCAGCTGTATTTCACTGACAGATAGAAATGCAATTGTTCTATGTGGGTTTCTTTTGGCTCACATCTTTGCTGAATTCATTTATTATTTATAGTAATATGGGAGATGCTATTTTTAGAATATTCAGGTATATAATTATGTCAACTGGAGTCGTATTTTTTTATCCTTATATTTTTATGACCTTCCCAAATAGCTATTGCCAACATTTCTAATATCACTTTGAGAAAAATAGCCATGGGTGAACCTTCTGTTTTATTTTTGAGGAGAAGAACTCTCATGCATCTCCAATAAATATGACATTGGTTCTTCAGAATAAGTACATTCCTCTTCTCATTTGAGAATAAAAATCTCCACATCTAATTGCAAAGACATAATGAGAAATAAATATTAAACTTTCTTGGTTGTCTTTTCAACAGCTATTAAAAATATGATTAATTGCCTAAAATTGCTTTTTTTTTTCCATTCATGATTTAATTTTCCCCATATTCTCTCTTTTGAAAATGAAAATTAGCTATAAAGTGCCAAGGAATCCAAATGCAATTATATTCTTATTTTTCACTTCAATTTT